GAGGTCACTGCGATCCCCCTCCCAGGCTGCTGGGCATCCCGGAGTGCCCCGACCCACGGCCTCTCTCTTTTTCTCCCCCGGCGCCGAGCACAGCATTGCTCCCCGATTGATTGCGAGCCTCTCCCCTCCCTCCTCCACCTCCCGGGAGGCACTCGAGAGGCTTACATTTCGGAGAAACCTTAACTAACGAGGCTGTGAATTAATTAACCGACCGCGTGGCCCGATTCCTGCCCTGCTGGCTCCGTGGGACTTCCAAGGGGACCCGGGGATCCCACCGGCACGGCGAACGCCGTGTCGCGGGATGCAGGGATGCTCCCGGCATCCCGTGAAAATCCCGGCACAGGGGGCGGCGGCAGGCCAGGGGGGTCCGTGGGGAGGCGACGGCCTTACCTTGGTGACAGCGACAATGGTAAGGACGTCTCCTTTGCTGAAGGGCAGGTCCTGCTCAGCGGTACCGTGGAAGTTGTATTTGGCGATACATTCTGTACCGGACGGCCAAACGGCCTGGCCGGGGAGAGGGGGACGGTGTCAGAGTCCGGCCCCCCCCTAAACCACGGGGACCCCCGCCCCACGCGGGGCTCCCGTCCCTCTGATGCAAACCCAAACGGGTTTCACTTAAACCAGAAGCAGTTTGGGGGATTTTGGGCAGCCCTGGGAGCTCAGATGATGTTTTTCAGCTGGGATGGGGACAGGGACGGGGCGGGGACACACAAAACCGCAGGTCCCCGTGGTGCTGGGCTTCTGCAGGGGCACGGGGGGAGAGGGACAAGTGTCCCCGTGTCCCTCCTCAGCCCCAGGGCCATCTCTGAAGCAGATGGAAAGGCTGGAGAGCCCGCTCCGTCCCTGCCTCTCCTCCCCGCCCGGCGCTTACCTGCATCCCTGACATCTTCTCAGGAGGTTGGGGTGCGCAAATCTCACAGGGGGGACACGTCACTTGGTACCATGAGACCTGCAGGGGGAAAGGACAACTGAGAACCGGGCCCGGCGGGGAGGGCTGTGTAAGGACGATGCACAGGGAGCAGCC